TGACAACCTGGCTCAACAGAGAGCGATCCTACCTCAAATTCACACTCGTATTAGGTTGGAGGCCATCGCTTTTAGGTGGGAGGCCATTGCTCTTAGGTTGAAGGCCATTGCTTCTAGGTTGGAGGGCATTGCTCTTAGGTTGGAGGCCATCCCTTCTAGGTTGGCGGCCATTGCTCTTAGGTTGGAGGCCACCCCTTCTAGGTTGGAGGCCATTGCTCTTAGGTTGGAGGCCATCGCTTCTAGGTTGGAGGCCATTGCTCTTGGTTGGAGGCCATCCCTTCTAGGTTGGAGGCCATTGCTCTTAGGTTGGAGGCCATCGCTTCTAGGTTGGAGGCCATTGCTCTTAGGTTGGAGGCCATCGCTTCTAGGTGGGAGGCCATTGCTCTTAGGTTGGAGGCCATCCCGTCTAGGTTGGTTGCCATTGTTCTTAGTTTGGAGGCCATCGCCATTGTGTTGGAGGCCATCGCTTCTAGGTTGGAGCTCATCGCTTCTAGGTTGGAGGAGTTCGGTAGTAGGTTGGAGGCCATCGCTTCTGCCAACCCTCTGCTGACAGCTTTGACGGATTTCGGGATGATAGCTGTCTCGAAGCACATGTGGACTGCAAGCTGCCAAACATTGACACATTCAAAAAAGGACTGTACCTTGTCATGGAGTCAAACAAAATCAACAGAAATTCATGAAGAACTCCTTAGCCTAGACCTATCTGAATCCCGAGCTGCCTCCATCGCGCTCACGCCTGGAGGAGGCGGCAGCTCAAAATTGGCAACCAAACTTGGATGAAACTGTGTGCAAGTTCGGTTCAACTGATTCTTGCAAAGATTTGAGAGCATGAAGTAGCTGAAAAAAGACAGAAGTAAATGCAAATAAGATTGGAGTGACTGGGAATCCTTGAATCTGTGAGATGAGCATATTCTCCCAAATCGGGCTAGAAAGTATCTGTCCGAACTCGTTCCCACTGAGGATCCCAGCAAGCTTGCTAAGAAGCACTCACCCCCAAGCTTGTGCTTACTGCCAAAATTCCAACTGCATGTGTTGGCACCTTTCCAAGTTCTTCTTGAGATCAATTGTCGCTCAAAGGTTGGAAATGCCAAAATAGGTTGGAGGCCATCGCCTTTTAGGTTGGAGGCCGTTACAATTAGAAACAAGTAGCTAGTAGGAACAAGTGCATCGCTTCTAGTAACAAGTGCCTTACTAGTAGTAACAAGAAGCTACTAGGAACAAATGCATCGCTTCTAGTAACAAGTGCCTTACTAGTAATAACAAAAAGCTACTAGGAACGAGCGCATCGTTACTGGTAACAAGTGCCTTACTAGTAGTAACAAGAAGCTACTAGGAACAAGTGCGTCGCTACTAGTAACAAGTGCCTTACTAGTAGTAACAAGAAGCTACTAGGAACAAGTGCATCGCTTCTAGTAACAAGTGCCTTACTAGTAGTAACAAGAAGCTACTAGGAACGAGTGCATCGCTTCTAGTAACAAGTGCCTTACTAGTAGTAACAGCAATCGCAGCTGGGTCACAGGGGGTCCACGCCAGACCGATGGTCGACTTGTCCAAGGCAGTTGTCTTGAGACTACCACTCGTTGAGGTGAACTACCCATTCGGACAAACTTTCAATCTGGGAGCTCTTAGGTTGGAGGCCATCGCTAGTTGGTTGGAGGCCATCGCTAACCGGGCCAAGCAGGCGACGGAATTCATCGTCCGTCATTTCCAAAGAGTCACATCGTCATTCGTTGGAGTCCCTGGATTGTAAGACACTTCCGCACCAAATCAATACTTCATCAAATCTGAAATAGATACAGATCCATGAGATTGTATTTCCCTCCAAAAGCTTCCAGCAATGTAGGACTTTGTTTAAAGCTCCCCCGTAACAACTTCAATTGCACCAAATCCTCATTCATCAACACTTCACAACTACGTATATAGACCTGCCCATGGCAAATCCACTTGCAACATTCTGCCGAAACTCACCCATCATTCTCACAACACACACACACACACACGCACCACTATATATATATATATAATCCATATTCAAAACGTGAATATTTGTGTATTTGCCGAGTTATTGCCCTTTAAACCATGCAAATTACATTTAATGTATCTTCAATGTTTTGCATCTGGAAATTCATTATGTATCACCTCGATCAAGATTCAACGTGCAAAAGGCATGGCTGGTCGCTTTTCAAACCTCGTGTCTCAGGTCCCTGCACCCATCGAAGTCTTGAGCGATGAGTTGCAACATATCCTTCGAGGTAAAGTGAAGTACAGTGAAGTACACTAGCGATCCCCTCCAACCTAATACCGATGGCCTCCAACCTAGAAGCGATGGCCTGTAACCTGACTCCAATATTTCTTCGTTCGGCTCTTCCAAACGTTAAAAGTGATTCTTCTTTTAAATATTTTCGATAAACGAGTGCGTTCTGATAGCTTTGAATCCACTCGTTTCCCCATTCGCTCCGTCTGGGTATGCACTTTGCCAGCTGCAGCTTCTTGCTGCAGGCGCAAAGCCTGACACTGGTGGGTCAGCTTGCAACATGTAACATGAACATCAAGCCCAAGACTTTGTGGAGATGTGATAACTTTTTCCCTTTTCTTGCTCGCTCAACCGGAATCCACTTATTCGTTTCAATCAAGCGATCGAAAGCGGAAATGCTTCACGTTCGCTCTCTGCCTGTTACTGGGCTGAACTTAGAGGCCAAGAAATGGTTGTTTCGCTGATTTCGCCTGATTTCGCTTGGCCCTCTCGAGGATATTGCGCACAGCACCTAAAAGATCTTGAAACGTGGCCAGAACCTGTCCGTCTAGGAGCAAAGGTCATCACTACTAGGAGCAAGGACGCTACTATGGCATCGCTACTAGGAGCAAAGGACGACTACTTGGAGCAAAGCCCAATCGACATGAACAAGTCTGCAACAGCAAGCGAGTTGCTGAGTTTCCGTGCGCCCATTCCCTGCTTGTCGATCGCTCTTCTTTCCAGGCTTTGGCACAGTCTGCAACATGTTCTTATCAGCATGTCGTTTCCGGGAAAAGACATCGACTAAGAACATGAAGGCGGCCTACCATCAGAACACCCTGAGAAAGCACATTTTTCTGGGTTGTGTGTAGTTCTGCAAATCCAACTGCAGCCTTCTGCAACAAACCTTTCAGCCGCTCGCTGGCGGAATGATCCGATAAGGTAAGAATGTCCTGCGGCTTCAAACAAACAAACAAACAAACATGACATAGCAAAACCGTGCTGAGGAATGCCCCCAATAGCAAGAGCTTCCGTGTTCCTGCAGGAGCATGCCATCAGCGATTTCCATCAACTCCTCGCAAGTGTAGTCCTCCAAATCATGAAGCATATTCAGAGTTCATGTTCTGTTTTGCTCTTCAAACAAGTAAGGCAGCTTGCTTTAATTTCATGACCGCATGTGGACCAGGCCCCTGGCATCAAATTCAATGACCGTTGGGAAGCGAGAGCGCAAACCAGGATTGGCTTCAATCCTGAGTTGGTGATGAATTTTTGCGGAAACTGGCGAAGCATTCTAACCGCTGGTTGAAAAAGGAGGAGCAACTGTCAGGAACTTTGAGCCAATGAACAAGGTCTTGGCAGAAGCGCAGAAGAAAAGGAATACCAAGAGCGATGGTAAGAGCAATGGCCTCCAATCTAAGAGCGACGGCCTCCAACCTAATTGTAAAAGGAAAACATAGGGAAACCAGGAGACTGTAAAAATGAATGGAATCAACCAAGGTGGATGGTGGATGACTGGTGACCTTCCTAGATCTTCTTAGTTTGAAGGTGTGATCGTTGGCTTCTTGTGAAAAGGCTCAGTCGCGCCATCTCAGAGCTATAGCCAGCAAGGATGACCACCTGCAATTCCGGTCCAAACTGATGCACTTGTTTGTCTTTCTCAGCTTTGCGAGGTGCGCTTGTCGCTGCAAAAACCAAAGGAACTGCTTCACTTCTTCACATGAGCTGAGGTGAAAGCCAGGTCTTGTCGAAAGTCCTCTGCAAATGCAATAGCGATGGCCTCCACCTAGTAGCTTTTATTGCTGGTAGTAATGGCCTCCATCCTAATAGCTTCCAACATAAAGGAAGCATTAGGGCGTTGAGTGGAATTTCGCGTGTTCCGTCCACTCTTGAAAGCTCATTCGCTCACTTTATTTGTTGCACCACAGCTCGCTTCCTGTGCCACTTTGGACCAAAACCGGCAAAAAAGTAACAAACATGCATTGAACATATTTGAATGCACGTTCAAGTTCTTCTTCGGAATTCTAAGTGTGAACTACCAACGTTCACCACCCGAGAAAGGCGCTCCTCGACCAACTTGATGAGCGTGTCCAAGGCCTCCCGTCCAAAGGAATCGTGGCCTTCATCTCCCACCAAGGCATAGGCCTCCCGTCTTCTCAGTTCTTCCGAAAAGGGGTGAGAAACCAAGGGGTTCTTGAAGGTTCCGTAAATCGTTTGATGTCACAATGATTCTCTAATATTATCGTTCCTTCTTTTGCAAGCTTGGAAGGGCTCTGCACAAGAATCCAGAGTGGCGTCTGCAAATCCGGCGAGCCTCATCAATGAACAGCACACCACCCAACGCCTTGGCAGTGGCAAAGCTAACTCAAAAGAGCCTGGAAAAAAGCAAAAACACACATCAACCCAAGTTGGGAAAGTTGGCAGCCTTGTTCTTGGTGCGAAACGCATCATACACTCAGTTCCGTTTCAGCACTTCTGCCTTGAGGCTCTTGCGGATTCCACAACAGCCTTGGTCTTCAAAGCTGTCTGGCCGCTATAGCCTGTTCAGGGCAACCCTTGCACGACCCCAAGGGCTCACCATGCGTGCCACCACAATTTGAAGGAACCCCCCTCTAAAGAATACAAAAGGTACTGCGCCAAAAGCAAGCAGCTGTACGTTGAATTGTGCATCTTCTGCTAGGTTGGAGGAGGACCATCACTACCAGGTTGGAGGCCATCGCTAATAGGTTGTAGGCCATCGCTGGTAGGTTGGAGGCCATTTCTATAAGGTTGGAGGCCATCGCTTCTAGGTTGGTGGCCATCGCTTCTAGGTTGGAGGGCATTGCTATTAGGTTGGAGGCCATCGCTAGAAGTTTGGCGGTCATCATTGCTATTAGGTTGGAGGCCATCGCTATAAGGTTGGAGGACGTTGGAGGCCATTGCTATTAGGTTGGAGGCCATCGCTATTAGGTTGGAGGCCATTGCTAGTAGGTTGGAGGCCATCGCTATTAGGTTGGAGGCCATTGCTATTAGGTTGGAGGCCATTGCTAGTAGGTTGGAGGGCATCGCTATTAGGTTGGAGGCCATCGCTATTAGGGTTTAAATGCGCAACCCGTACTTGCTGTAGTGCGCTCACAAACGGCCTGCCACCAGGGCTGCACGGTCGGCCTCTACGAGGTGTCCGGTCCGGAGCATACCCAAAGCCTCAAACAAGAACCAATGTCAAGTTTCGCATTTTCTTTTTCGCTACTAGGGGCTCCTGGCCTTACTACTAAGAGCAAGGATGCTATTAGTAGCTCCTGGCATTTTTACTAGTAACAAGAAGCTGACTTTCATAGGTGACAGTTCCGCATGGACGAATTCATCCAAATGATCCAGCCCGTCATGCCAGGATCGGATACTCAGCCCGAACGAGTTTGTAGGGTAAAGTTGGACAAACAAATGGATCACCATCACCGAACAAAGCCTTGAGCAAGTCAGCCACCACCCGCGCCACTGTGGTCTTCCCAGTGCCAGGATTGCCTCAGCGATCACCAGCTCAAACACAAGATGTAAAGCAACGATCCAAACGCGATGGCCTCCAACCTACTTTCGTTCTGAGATAGCAGCCCTGAAAGACCATGTGCAATGTGGGGCTTCCACCTGCACTCAAAGACTTGAAATCCCAGCAAGTCTTGTATTCTGGACAACACGAGGCCAACATGTGCACTTTGAGCATGCAACAAAACCGATCTTCATGGGACCTCACGAAATAGGATGTTAACAACTTGCATCGAATTAGATGATTTTCTGTCAAACACTCACGCTTGGTGCGCAGTGCCTGCAGTTTCTAGGCCCATCTCCCTTTTGCGCTGCTCCATGAGGAGGGTGGCATAGAGAGATCTCACAAACCTTAGGACGTCGTCAAGTCATTGATGGCCGTTGAAATACACACACACATGACATGCGCGTTGCATACTTTTTCCCCCCACCTTGTTAAGTTTCCCTAAGAATCTAGGAACCAAATGAATAGTGCGAGCGCTTCTTCAAAAGGCGGCGGGAGCTTCCTGAAGAAGCGTGAGCTATCCTGCGTCCGTACTAGTAGCTTAAGTAAGGTACTAGCTACCTCACTTAATTAAGTAGGTGGTCTCTACTTAATTAAGAAGGGAGAGAGGGGGGAAGAGCGAGATGGTCTCTTCGAACATTGGGTATCCGTGCTCTTTCACGGGTTTCAGCCCCACGATGGCGTCCAGTCGCTTCAGCGCAGCCTTGTCTCGCGTCACTTCATATCGCATCACTTCTTGAGATAAAATATAAGACATTTAGAGTATAAGAAATTTTGAGTAAAGAGTATAAAACCTTTCTCTTTCTTTTCAATGAGAATAAGAAGTTCTTTCGGAAGTCTCATGGTGTTAATTTGTCTCAACGACATCAGCACTAGAGCAGCCTGCGCTGCTTCGTCCATCTCTTTGTTCTTATCGACGAAATCCTCTTGGAAGCATGAATGGACTTTTGGTTAGCTTTGGTTCCCTGTCGATGGCTCCTCTTTGGTTAGCTTTCCGAGGATTCTTACTGTCAAAAAGCCTGCTTCCTTCAATCAAAGTCCGCTCAACATCAGGACCAAAGCGTTATACTTTCGATCTTCAGTGCTCCTGTTCGACCAGTGCAGTGAGGCCAGTGAAGGACAGGGTTTCCTCGCAAACAAGAGCTCCAAAATGCTCCACATGCAGAATCCCATCACATCTTCAATTGGCTCACAGAAGCTCGGAAGACCTTATGAACATCAACTAGGACATCAATTGCACATGACTCCCTATGAATCTATTCTGGTTTTCTGGAACCTGTTCGTCGCCACACCGAGCAGCTATGCGAAGAAAGAACCCAATCCTTGGCCCAAACACGATCGGTTTGTCTGCTGACCGCTTCTTCCAGCATCGCCTGGGTACTTCGAAGCGTTCGGGTGTTGTTTCCTTCGTTTCACCTTTGGAGGTCGCTTCACTTTCCGACTTGAGTGACATGAGGTGATCACAACGAGCCAGAAATTCCTCTCAAGGCGCCCTTGTGGTGGAGGCTTCCACGTAATTCTTCAAGGTTGGAGGCCATCGCTAGTAGGTTGGAGGCCATCGCTATTAAGGAACTTCCCAACTTTGTGCTCTGAGCCTTGGCTAAGCGCACGTTCTTGGCACCGTCGCCCCCAGCCTTGAGGCCGGCAAAATCACAGCCAAGACTTTCCAAAGATAGACATGTGCTGCAAAGAGGTCAGACTTTGTCTCTTTAGAGATTGTTTTGCTGCAATCGAAGCCACACTTTCGGGAGGCATGTCTCTTTTGTGTCGACTGGTCTGGAATAGTGCGCAACAAACAGAAGAAGACCTTTGAAGCCCCAGATGTTGTTCTTCAATACAGCTCTTTGCAAGCACAAGTACCACCTTAACTACCTTGCAATCAACCGGTCCAAGTACGGCCAGAAAAGGAACTGTTTCAGACTTCTTTCGTGAACAAGCAGTGCTTCTGACACCACATGAGTCTGCTTCTCAGTCGGCTTGGGTCACCGCCCGCGCCATGCGGCGCCGGACCAAGCTCTCCAGCCTTTCACAGTGCTTTGGGCTTTATTAGACATTTTTCATATTATTTTTTTGTTTCTAGCAGCAATGGCCTCCACCCTACTAGCGCTGGCCTCCGACTCTCCCAAGGAACCCCACAAGCTTAGTGCTTTGCGCATTTAGTTTCAATCCAATGTATGTGATTGAACTCTTGGCAGGTGATCACCCTTTTTATTTCCCAAAGAGCCAAACACAACTCCTCCCAACTCTTTCGCTCTTTATCTTTCGCAGCCTCTCATCGGTGAGCTCATGGCCTGAGGGCCACGCCACTGGTGGAGGGTCATCAGGAGAAGATAAGTTGTCATTCCCCTTTTCTTTCTTTCCTTCTTTCTTAAATGGACACGAAGGCTACATCCTTTTTATTACTTCCTTATTATTTTTTGTTTTTCCAAGTTTATTGCTCAGTTAATTGCTTCCAACTTGTGCTTGATTGTGGCTTTGCATGCAGTTTTGCCTCTTGCCAAAAGTCTCACCGCTGCGAAGGGTGTCACAAGGGTGTCACTGAGCACCCGACTCAGCTGAAAACTGTGTGTCTTCACCAAATGTCTCAGAATCTGGGCCTCATCATCAATTCACCCATGAATTTCTAGCAAGGACGCTACTAGGGGCTCCTGGCATCGCTACTAGGAGCAAGAAGCTACTAGGGGCTCCTGGCCTTACTACTAGGAGCAAGGACGCTACTAGTAACGGCAGATCGAATTGACCGATGTCAGCCGGGTCTGATGTCCAGGTCCCCGGCCACTTCAGCCGCTGTGAGATCCTCAGGTTTCAACGCCAAACATGACACACACACACACACACACTCTCTCTCTCTCTCTTTCTCTTCCGGTTTTTCATCTTCGGGAAGACCAAGTTCCAACATCTTTGTGCATCAGGACCTGAACTTCCTTTGTCGTGGTGGCGCAACCCATTGAACTGACCCGCTCTAGACTTCTTCTGCAAGTGCAGTGCCTTCTAAAGATGTTGACAAGAAACAGAAAACTCCAGGCGTGCAAAGATGCAGCTGCCAACGCCGGGCGTCTCCTGCACTTGGAGCAAATGAAGAGCCCCTCTGAAATGGAAAATCAACGGATTGAGTGTATTTACAAACCAGGTCATCGTGAAAGTCACGCCTCGTTAAAACCTTTGATCTCCGTGACCCATGGTGTTCATATGATTCATATGTATGTATTCCTAAATTCGGTGGAGGTTAGAGACCATCGCTATCTGGTTGGAAGCCATCTGGTATCTGGTTGGAGGCCGTCCATTTTGGGTTTTAGGCTATCGTTACCAGGTTGGAGGCCATCTCTATTGGGTTGGAGGTAGCTTGGAGGCCATCGCAAGTAGCTTGGAGGCCATCGCTACTAGGTTGGAGGCCGCTAGTCGAGTAGCTTGGAGGCCATTTCCAATAGTTTGGAGGCCATCACGTTGGATGCCATTGCTAGAAGGTTGGAGGCCTTCGCTACTGCCCACTGCCTTTCCCTTGCCCCTCTGCTGCCCGGTCTCGTGCTGTCCCGTCTTGTCTCGTTTGGGTCTCCAGAAGCTGCCCCAGCTGGCTTCGACGTCCCGCAAGCACCAGGCATAGCCTTCAGAAGGATTGTTCCATCAGCCAAGCTTGCTTTGTTGAGAACAGCTTGAGGTTCTGCCCTTTGCTGTACCGGTGCCTGCTGCTACTGCTGCTGGACACTAGGTACTAAATGCTACTTACTACTAGAGACCAAGTATGCTGGTAAAGGCCGCTACATCACTGCTTGTTTCTCAAAAGGCAAACATGAGTCATCCTCTCCACCCCGGCCTCTGTGGCCACTCGCAGGGTATCGCCACGGTCTGACGGAAGATTCCCACCAAAACGACATCACAACAGGTGCTTAGGCGTCTGAATTTGGCATCTAGTGGCGATGGCCTCCACCCTAGTGGCGATGGCTGTCCAACCAAGGATGCTGCGAGGCAAATCATCCACTTCAAAAATCAAATGACCCAGCGTTTTTGTCTTTCCATGGCGACGAGGAGCTTAGCTGAGCTCTTTCCAGACTGTTCTCATCCTCTCTATTTTTCTGCTTAGTCCAGCCTTCCTTCCCAGCTTCCCAGCGATCAAAACGTCTGGCCCAGCTTCTTCTGCTCCGTTTGTCTTTCTCTCTACTAAACATGACTATATATATATATATATCTATGCCTATAGTCTATAATAAGTTTCCCCAAACATCTAGGAACGAAATCATTAACGCGAGCGCTTCTTCAAGGAAGAAGGGTAAGCTATCCTGCGTCCAGTTATTAGAAGCTACCTAGGCGCGTGCAAGCTTATTCCCTTACTTAATTAAGTAGGCGCCTACTTCACGAAGAAGGAACCCTAAACCCTAAACCTCGTTTTTCCGCAACTCAGGCCTCTAAGAGCTTTGTCACTGACTGCAGCGCCTCCTCCCCCAGGCGGTCCTCGTATGACTCTGTGTTGCAAGACTGCTTCACAGAAGCCCAGTTGCCAAGTCTACATCTAGGTGCTCAAGGAGCCACTGAAATATAAAGAAAGATCACCCCTGATCTGAATTGGAACAAAGCCAATAGCCAATGCAAAGGACCTCCTTCTTTTTTGGACGCTCTTAGGTTGCAGGCCATCGCTAGTAGGTTGGAAGGCCATCGCTAGTAGGTTGGAGGCCAATTGCTACTAGAAACAAAGAAAAACAAGCTTCGTTACTAGTAGCGATGCCAGGAGCCCCTAGTAGCGTCCTTGCTCCTAGTAGCGAGGCCCTTGGCTCCTTTTTCGGACCTTGTGGACCACATCGAACCACGTCCGTCTCGCCCCATTCGCTCCGAGGACTTCTCGGTGTCTTTGAGGCAGTCAGCTCCCTGCACGAGCAGTACGCCGCCCTCGGCAGCACGGACCTCAAACAAGGTCCCCATCCATTTGGAGTTGACAAAGGCCTCTCAATTTACAGCTTCCAAACACTAGTGACACGTGTCTCACGATTCCTTAGCAGCTCTGACACATAGGTGTGTGTCCTCTCAAGGAATCTTCTCCAGGCCCCGACCACTTTCTTCATCTTCGCATCCACCTTGGTTCTCACGCAAAATAGGAAGAAAGCAAGGAAAGCAGGAATGGTCCAAAAAAGAAACAATACCATAATAAGGAAAAGGGGTAATAAGGAAAAGGGGTCAGAATCCGAAACAAGAAACAACAACAAGGATGCTACTAGGGGCTCCTGGCCTTACTACTAGGAGCAAAGGGCGCTACTTGGGGGTCCTGGCCATACTACTAGGAGCAAAGGGCGCTACTAGGAGCAAAGTACTTAACAACATACAACATACAAGTACTTAACAACTCCCACAAGGTGGATCTTAGCCCCCAACATCGCCGCCAGTACAGCCAGCAAGGAGATCCTCTGGTTGGAGAGTTGTGCGAGAGTTTTGGACCCAAGTGGACCCTTTTCAAGCATTCCTCTTGAAATCAATCCAACCTACTAGCGATGGCCTCCAACCTAGTAGTGATGGCCCGTCCGCACGGCAGTGCAGTTTTGATATGCTTTGGACCCAAGTGGACATGCAGGCTTTGCTCCACCATCAGATTAGAACATGGTCTAACAAAGGGCATCGCTACGAACGTAGCAAGGAGGCTGCTGATCTCTGACCGACTCTTGCCCTCGTAGCGATTGATCCTGCTTAAGTAGTAGCTTCTTGTTACTAGTAGCTTCCTTGCTCCTAGCAGTACGGCCAGGAGCCCCTAGTAGCGTCCTTGCTCCTAGTAGCAAGAAGCTCCTTTCCGATTTTTCGCCGTGGCGCCGCCGGCCCTGTAGCAAGGCGGTCCTTGCGGGTCACCTCCAAGGTATGGCCAGAAGATAAAACACCAAACCTTGGCCCCCACGAGAAGCCGAGGGATCGAGTCTTCAGCTGATTTTCGCAAGAGATTCTCGACCTTCTTTAGGTAAGAGAAACGAAAAAACAAAGAGTTGCTTTAAAAGACATGTCAACAACAAAAAGCTACTAGGGCATTACTAGTAGGAGCAAGAAGCTACTAGGAGCAAAGGGCATCGCTACTAGGAACAAGGACGCTACTAGGGGCTCCTGGCCTTACTACTAGGAACAAGAAGCTACTAGTAACAAGTGCCACGCTAGTAGTAACAAGTGCCTTACTAGTAGTAACAAGAAGCTAGTAGGAACAAGAAGCTACGAACGGAGCAACGTCATTTATATGATCCGCCCGAAGTGACAAGTTCGGCCTCTCAGCAGTTCAACACAACTGATGGAATCCACTTGCCTCAACTAGGAGCGACGCTACTAGTTACTAGTAGCTCCTGGCCTTACTACCCAGAATGGCCTGGCAAAAACACGAAATGCGATCCACAGGCTTTCAGGTGCGACGAAATGCGCTTGCCGAAGGTCACCTACATCGCACAAGTCCTTTTTCCCTTGAGAACCCAGACTTCGCCAGCATCCCACCCAGAACTTGGGCCACTTTCCCTGCACCAGAGCCTGGCAAGGCCCAAGAAAACATATTTCTCTGACATCGGCGTTTTACATCTTTGCAAACATGTACTTTAAGCTGGAGAGAACTAGTAACAAGTGCCACGCTACTAGGAACAGGTGCCTTACTAGTAGTAACAAGAAGCTATTAGAATTAAAGACACAACTGTAAACTCTGAGGATCTACAACACACCCGATGCTCTCGCTCTCTCTCTCTCTCTCTCTGTGCGCACTATGATACATGTAAAAAACATGCTCTCTGCACCTGCTGTGCCCTGCATGAAGGCAAAGTGCAGCGGCCGCGCCGAAGTGTCCCCTGTGACGCTGCTGCGGCGCTTCCTTGGGAGTCGGGAACGGTGGCCAATGAGGATCAATGGCCTCCAACCAAATGTAATCAAAAGTAGTAACAAGAAGCTACTAGGGGCTCCTGGCATCGCTACTAGGAGCAAGGACGCTACTAGGGGCTCCTGGCCTTACTACTAGCAACAAGAAGCTACTAGTGACAATTTAAGCCATTGATCAGACTTCAAGTAATAGAACTATTTAAGTCATTAAAGTTCTATTTTGAACGTCTGTTCAAGGCCGTTCAGCGCAAGGTTCAATGCCATCGGTCAGTTGTCTTCTGGCCGGCGTAAGTAGCGTCCTTGCTACTGGTGGCAGCGATGCCCGGGTTCTTAGTAGCGATGCCAGGAGCTACTAGTAGCTTCTTGTTCTGCCCCTTAAAACATAGCACATGATGGACAGTTGTAACAAGTGCCACGCTAGTAGTAACAGGTGCCTTACTAGTAGTAACAAGAAGCTACTAGGGGCTCCTGGCATCGCTACTAGGAGCAAGGACGCTACTAGTAACAAGGATGAACCCTCGACGTTGTGGGTCTCCCCACTGGACTTCGATGAAGTTCCGCGCATGGCGGATGGACTCCTTTACCTGTCGGTCGTCAGTGGACCACTTGCTTTTGGGTTGCGTGGAGAACAAATCCTTGCTTAAAACTAGCGTGACCAACACCAACAAGAAGCTACTAGGAACAAGTGCATCGCTTCTAGTAACAAGTGCCTTACTAGTAGTATCAAGAAGCTATTAGAAACAAGACTAGGAACAAGTGCATCGCTTCTAGTAACAAACTCTTGATCATTTCTGATGTTTCAAGGGTTCCTCAGTTCTTTGGGCATCGCTACTAGGAGCAAAGGGCATCGCTACTAGGAGCAAGGACGCTTCTAGGGGCTCCTGGCTTCACTACTAGGAGCAAGAAGTGGTTTGTTTTGTTAATCCTTTTGCTTCAACTTCTTCTTGCAGCTTGTCCTTGCTCCTTTCCTTTCCAACCGAAATCCACCCTTCCAACTGGCCTCCTTGAGCCCCACGAGCAGCTCCAGCTCCGCCTCCAGGTCGAACTGCTCGGTGTCCGGTGCCTCCGACCTCCGGTCCCGCGAAGTGACTCGTGACTCGAGCGTTCAACAGGTCACCTTCCGGACTCAAGAGGATTTGTTGGAACAAGATCAAGGTATCTGGTGTGCATGGTACATGACCAATTGCCCTAAAAGGGTATCCTAGTGTCCCTTACCACTCATGCCGTCACTTGCCTTGGAAAACAATGCCATCTCCAGCTAAAGTGGCCAAGGTTCGAAAGGAAGCGACCAAGGACGCTATGTCTTACCCCGCTGCCCGAAACTGGTCGGGACACAAAAATAGCACCTACATTCCGGTCAGAATTGGCGTGTCACGCTATCGTAACTCCAAGACGTTCTTGCTCCCACCTTTCCAGTCACTGATCTAGAACGAAACGTGCTGTCCATCAGCCCATCTTTTTGCATAGTCTGCTCCCACAAAATGACGAGCCCAATCAACCTTGTTACTAGTAGCGATGCCCTTTGTTACTAGTAGCTTCTTGTTACCAGTAGTAATGCCCTGGTTGCTCGTAGCGATGCCCTTGAGCCCAAAGTTAAGCCAGGGCAACAACTCTCTTAGGCAATGGCATGGGCAACATCCGCACGTCCTCGTCGGCCAGTTCTGGAGGCACCTGGTCGTGTTGAGTTTTACTGCGTTTCTGTTGGAGCATGCTGAATAGAAGTAAAGGGAGAGTGCCAATGACCCAATAGCAGGAATTGTTACAAGCATACCAAGACATGGTACAAGTACAAGGGCACATACTCAGAAAGAGTTTGGGGCATCTGCAAGACAGAGGAGAAGAAGAAGAAGAAGAAGAAGAAGAAGTAGTAGAAGTAGTGCGCACATATTGCAGTGCTGCCAGTGGACGCTAAGATCATGCTGAACAGAGCCCCAGCCCTGTTACATGCAGCCAAACACAGCTAGTATGAATGACAACCAGATGCAAGTTGATCCAACCCCATCACCAATGCAAGGGCTTGTGCCAACCTTCAACACCCTTGATATCATCCTTTTCTCACAATACCCATGGCAAGGGTTGTTCCGGTTTGCTGAGATTCTTTGAGCCTTCTCGCACAACTATGGAGCAATGCTGAGCTTCCAAGCCAGCTCCACCTCCTCCAAAGCCTGCAAAAAGACAGAAAAAAACACGCATTCAGAGACTTGAGCGCAAGTAGATTGGAGGAGATCGCTAGTAGGAGGCCATCGCTCTTAGGTTGGAGGCGACCGCTCTGGAGGCCATTGCTTGAGCATTCAAAGATCCAAACAAACAAAACCATGAAACCTGGCCTGGACGACCTGGGCTACTGACATCCTAAAACGGTGCCTTTTGCTCCAACCTGTTAGTTTAGCCAATCTGTTTGCCGCCGGTTTACTGCAAAAGACCCCTAACAACCTTTGGTACGATCTAAGGATGCACCAGGGTCCTCCAAGTTCGTTCTAGAACATGGTGATTGCTCAGGCTATGCAGCTCACTTCTTCAAATCCTTATCTTTTCCCATTTTCTTACTGTAAATTCAACGATTTTGTTTAAAGAACGTGTCGATAGGCACTCAAGCCAAAGGTTGGCGCTGCTTTGGTGCAGGAATTCTGGCAACAAGCGGACCTTCCATCCTGCAACTCACTCCTTTCGAATCCCACCTTGATCCAAACCAATCGCAAGATCCATATGATCAGTTTCACATGTTGGGAACTTGTCTCTTGCACCCCAGTGTGGCCTGGTAAATTCCATGTCCAGGCTGACACCGGAAGAATCTCTCGTTCTTGTACCTGGCACAGCAACCAAAGCCACTAGTAACAAGAAGCTCTTAAAGGCCTGGGCCATCGCTACTAGTAACAAGAAGCCACCAGCACCATTTTTCTGGGGAAGCTTTGGCGCTTCATCCCTTCCTTGCAACCTGTTACTACTAGCGTGGCACTTGTTTCTAATTGCTTCGTGTTACTACTAGTAAGGCACTTGTTACTACTAGCGTGGCACGGCCTCCAACCTACCAAGCAATGGCCTCCAACCCACCACACCGGTCGTTCAGGCACCGGTCGAAGATTGGACGAGCCAAGAGGAGCTCTGAAGTTCCAAACGGTCGTGACTTGTCAACTCCGCATGGACTTTCTTTTGGGATCGCGAAGGGATGAAAACAAACGGTCCTCATTTGGTCTTACGACCTGGATGAATCTCTGCTGACCTCCCATCTGATGAGAATCGATGAACATCTATACTCGACTCGAGAAAAATTGTGATGCGAGGTCAAGGCACATGCCATCGCAGTCGCTGGTGCTGCGTTTCTCGTCCAGCTTGATGCCTGGCAAAGCGCAAGCCAGGTGTTCACGGCCAAGCAAGAGGTGGCAAAGAAGCCAATGCCCCTGAAGTGGCACTTGTTACTACTTGTTACTAGTAGCGTGGCACTTGTTACTAGTAGCGCGTTTCTCTTGAAGCTTCGAATTTTGAGATGACAAATACAGCTTTACCATGATATTTCTCACTTGTCTTCTGTTTCCATTCAAACCAGCCGGCACGGGCAATCATACAGTTTCTTGAAAAAAGAGAACTTCTTAGTATCTGCTACTTACAAGAATGCTATGTCCAAAAGTTTTGGATCTGGCACTAAACTACCTCCTACCGGACATAGGAACTATGCAAGATATGACAAAAGGGAGAATGTTGTCCTTCACATCGAATCACCGTGCCTACCACGGTCTCTCCTCCAGCGAAAGCCGCAGGACCGATGTACATCACCTGCAGCGAAAGCCGCGTCCGCATGGTGGCGGTGCTCATCGAACTGCAACCGGGTAGGTGTTGTTGTTGGTAACAAGAAGCAACGAACGTAGCTCCTGGCATTACTACTAGTAGCAAGAATGCTACTAGGAACAAAGGGCATTGCTATTAGTAACAAGAAGCTACTTGGTATTGTCCAGAGCGTCCAAAACTCCACTTGAGGTTTAGACTGAGACTGGTAGCTTGGGATCTCTGACAGAAACCATCTATTCCCACATGTTGAAGCACAGTGTTTCTGCTTGGGAGCCTCCTCCTTAAACAAAGGTCTTGAGACTTTTTCCATTCTTTCAATCTTCACTTCTTTCTGAAGACCCATCTTCTTTCTTTTTTCATCTTCCTTTTGTTTCTGTAGACCTTTAGTCTTTCATCGTCTTTTATTTAAGGCTCATTCATACTTTACTTCCGAAGGTTTACAACCAATCATCGCAGTCGCCTCGCCATGCCGAACAGGTGGACCCTTCAACTTCACCCGGTCGCCCACATACATCTTGTCGTCGCCTTAAGAAGCTAGGAGCAAAGGACATCGCTACTAGGAGCAAGTGCCTTACTAGTAACAAGAAGCCATTAGAAACAAGAAATTACTAGAAATATAATTAAGTTTAATTAGAATTCAATCGCGCGCGCCGCGCGCGCGGGGGGGGGTAGGAGCAAGAAGCTACTAGAAGCAAAGGGCATCGCTACTAAAGGCTCCTGGCATCGCTACGAGGAGCAAGAGGACGCTACCAGCTAAAGTGGAAGAGACAATTCATCACCGACTGACCTCAACCTCTTTGAAGCCATGGCCTTTTCTTACTCTTCTCAGTGTCCATTCGGTCAAACTCAAGGCATTAGTGCTGTCCTTCTTCTGAATGGCAAGGGGTAGTTACCTCGTTATTAGTCGCATGGGTATTTTCAAAGTGCTAGGCACCTTCGGTTCTTGAGTTCATCCAAACTCGAACATGACTTGAGGCCAGGTCTTGCCACGTCTTTCACGATCCCCTGGAGGAAATGGCCAAGCAATGAATTCCAAACAATCTCTCGCATCCTTTCTGAAAACAAAATAGCTACTAGGGGCTCCTGGCCATATTACTAGGAGCAAGGACGCTACTAGGAGCTCCTGGCCATATCACTAGGAGCAAGGACGCAACATATCTCCCCTGCACAGCTCCCATGCCAATGTGTGGACCTGGCCTTGGATGGCCTCGAAGGTGGGGCCTCTCTGGCAGCTAGAGCTGTTGTTTTCGAAAACGAAAGAATCCAATAAGGGAGGGGTGTTGGAGGCCATCGCTATTAGGTGGGAGGCCATCACTACTAGGTGTGGAGGGGAACGCAAAAGAATCACAAAGCAATTCCAGGTGCTGCACATGTGCTGCAGTCGAGCCTTATGCCCCGAGGCAGGGCGATGACTAGGCGTCGCCTGGCAAAAAACCAGAGGGACCCGCTGGAGGAACTGAGGTCGGAGCAGGAGGGCTTAGGAACCTGGATGGTTTGCTTCCTTTGTGGAAAGAGATCATGGCGAATCACTAGCCAACTGACATTGCACATTTGGTGCTAAGACTAGACAGAACGGTTTGCAAGGCTGCAATCTCATGAAATGCGTTGCTTCTTTGATGATGGTGTGAGAACCTTTTGGGATGCGCGCGTCTTTGTTGTACAGGTTCAAAGGTCCATAGTGTTTGCTGTGCCAGCTTACATCAAAGCGGGCGACTTCGGTAGCAGAGTCGCTTTGAGACGCCCGGACATCCCCAGGTGTTGGTGAAGAACAGGCGCTGGACGCCTGGCCCCGCACAGCCAGGAGCTCAAAACCGCTAGGAGCATCCATACGGCCTAAGGTCTTGTGCGTCTTGTAAGGCCTGGAGCCCCTAGTAGCGTCCTTGCTCCTAGTAGCCATGCCCTTGTTTGCATTGGTTGTGGCAACAGGCAACGACTGAGTTGAGCGACTTCAACAAAAGAACGAGCTGGCCCGTCGATTTATGTTCACGTGATCTAGCAGTGTTTCACCGATTGCGCAACAAGTTGGCCTGTATGGAAGTGGAGGGGATATTGTTTAGCAAACAGCTGAATCTATTGCACACACACACACACAAAGAACCTGAACTTCCCATGCCTTGTAGGATGACCTTACAGCAAATGCCCACGCGCACACACACACACACGAAGCCGTGATCATTTGACGGCCAGCGACCAGCTCCAGCCAACTTCTCCCTGGCCTTCTTGGCTGCTGGGATTACAGGTTTCTTTGCCATCGGCCTTGAAGCTGAACGAGTGTCCCTCCCAAAAGCTTCTTGTGAGGTATGTCCTAAAATTCAAACGATTCCTTCCATTTCTCTAACTCACCCTACAAAACACTCTGTAAACAAAGAGTAAGTACTAGTAGGGGGAGGCCATCGCTATCAGGTTGGAGGCCATCGTATTGACTGTGTTCTCTGCTGCCGTGTGGCGCCGCCGGCGCCGGAGGTGGCATACTCTTTGAAGTGGCTGGAGCCTGGCAGCTTCCGCTACCGTTCGGAGAGTTTCGAGATGCGACCGTTAGTGAGAGATTTCCTAAAGTGAATAGACTTCTGAAATCTTATTTTGATCTATGTTTCATTTTGAGACATGCCCTGCGCAACTCAAACACTGAGACACTGACGTTTTCCTCGGACGATCCATTTTCAAGACCGTCCCTTACAGGGTTTAGAATGCATACTTGATTTGGCCTCCCTGAATTTGACAACAACAGTACATCACCAACTTCCACCAACTACTAGCAAGAAGCTACTAGTAGCTCCTGGCATTACTACAACAAAAAGCTACTAGGCATCTCTACTAGGAGCAGTTTTCGCTACTCGTTCCAAGGCCAACTTACCAACATCCAACTGGGCAGCCCGTTTGGACCAATGGCCTCCCCGAGCCCGTTTGGACCCATCACTCCACCTTTGCGGCGCCCGGCTTCTGGCGCACACGGGAGGGCTCGGCGGCTTCCTGTTCAGGCAGCACCTTTGTTCCTAGTAGCGTCCTTTGCTCCTAGCAGTAAGGCCAGGACCCCTAGTAGCTTCTTGTTCCTAGTAGCGATGCCAGGAGCCCTTAGTAGCGTCCTTGTTCCTAGTAGTAAGAATGCTACTAGTAGTAAGGCCCTTTGTTACTAGTAGCGATGCCCTTGTTCCTAGTAGCTTCTTGCTACTAGTAGTCATGCCAGGAGCCCCTAGTAGCTTCTTGTTACTGGTAGCGATGCCCTTTGCTACTAGTAGCGATGCACTTGTTACTAGTAGCTTCTAATCTTGGGGTCTGAATCGAAGGACCTTGAGCACTCCGCTGCCATCCGTGTGCTCCAGCTTCAGCTTGCCATCCGGCCGGATCTGCGAGGCATCGAGCGAGAGCACGTATGGCACATGCGAAAACAGACACTACGAACGGGGCTCCGAGCAAGGACGCTACTAGGAACAAGGAAGCTACTAGTAACAAGTGCCTTACTAGTAGTAACAAGAAGCTAGTAGAAACACGAATAAAGCTACTAGGGGAGATATGGAGGCTAGAGAAAGAACCTGAACAAGTCCAGCATGAATGCTGCTTCTCCTGTGGCGATTCAAGTAACAAGTCCCTGGCAAGCCACCTATTCAACGTGCTGTGATGGCCTCCAACCTTAAGTTTCCCCCAAACTCTAGGAGCCAAATCATTAGTGTGTGAGCTCTCCTGCGTCCAGTCGGTAGTAGCCTAACGAGTAGCTACTAGTGACCTATCTATCGGCCTACCTTTGTGGGCTCCAGGGCTAAAACCAAAACACAGAAACACCAGGCACGCCCTTCAAAAAGATCCAATTCTTCAAGGGTAGAAATTCTTGGACTCGCCGTTCCCCGATCTGTCCGGAGACCCGAGACCCCCGGCCAAGGCGATTTTACACTCGATCCATTCGGAGAACGAGGGGCCTAACGCAGCAGTGAGTGACTTGAAAGAGCAAAGGTCGAACAGAGACTAACAAGTAAGGCCAGGAGCCCCTAGTAGTAGCGATGCCAGGAGCCCCTAGTAGCTTCTTGTTACTAGTAGCGATGCCAAGAGCCCCTAGTAGCGTCCTTGCTCCTACACATGCAATCCAACTTTGGTCTCTATGTTCATTTTGAATGCTTCTGGCTGAACATCGGTACTTGATCGCATCGAAAAAGACTAACCTTAACACGGAAAGAAGAGGAATGGTTCTGGAGTTTCGCTGCTCTCTAGTGTTGCAACTCCATCGTTTTGGCGGATGGTGCTGGTGCAGCAAGGTGGTCAAGCTCTTTGGGCAATCGTCAAAGGCTCTGGGCAAGTCAAGACATGTCGTATCTCACAGAAGGGGACACATACATGAGAACGGGATTCTATTTGGACCGCAAGGCGCTGCGATATACAAGCCTTTCACAGCACTTGTTCCTAATAGCAAACGTTGTTACTACTAGTAAGGCACTTGTTACTACTAGCGTGGCACCCTTTTTGCATTTGATTTAAACGAAGTACTTCCTTCCTTTCTTCACTCAGTGGGCAGAAAGACCGCTCAGCTATCGGCTGTAGTACTCAACTCGCTGGCCCACGTGGAAGTCTGACATCCTCGGCACAAAACATAAGGCACAATGCTCTCTCCCTCTCTCTCTGGGTTGGATCCTGCGAATCAGCCAGTGAGAAGAAGTGACTTACAGCGGAGACAATGCTGGTATCCCTGGTCTAAGCCAATGCTTCTCCTCCATGTTGGCAAATGGTGACCCAAAACACCCACAAAAAAACAACCCAAAATCAAAGGATCTCACAAACCTCCCATTCCAACATTTTCTCTTGGGAGGCCATCGCTAGTAGGTTGGAGATCTCTGTTGGCCCATGGGTTGGTACAGTCTGAGTCCAAAACCATTCGTCTATGACTCACAGGACTGGAGCTGCTTGCAACTCCAGGTGTCGGGTTATAGCCGGTATAGCCGGCAAAAACCCAGGTGTAACAGTCAAGGACGAGAAGGGATGGCAGTGAACGATCATGGTCCTACTCTGACTCGAGCTTCTTGCGCTGGCGACTCAGTGTCAGGCCGTCAATCGCATAGAGAGCAAAGCAATCTTTGGCTTTGCTCCAAGATGGCGGGAACAGGGCGAAAGGAATTGGACTTGGACAAATATGGGACTTCCTGTTTTCTAGGCGATCTGAGCTGTTGGGATTCAGACTTCATGTCATCAAACTCTACTTACCTCGTTGCGCGTATTTGCGTGTGGCTTCCACACAGAAACAAGCACAGCCTGGAGTATGGCCCGCGTTCCATTGATGTCCATACCAAAGCTATTTGCCCACGGATTTATGGCAGAGTTTTCTTGGTTTTCGAACGGCTTCAATAACCAGAGCTCTTTACTTGATGGTATTGCTATGCCTTCCAGGTCGATGTGGTGGTGAATGACAGGTGTAGCTGCAATGTCATATTTCAAAAACCATGCCTTGTTTGGATTCCACTGGTTCGCAACGGGCTGAGCAGGTGCAGCAAAAAAATGGGAACCACGCAGTCTCTGAGTTCGCAAGAACAAAGAAGCTACTAGCTTATTGTTTCTAATAGCTTCTTGTTACTACTAGTAAGGCACTTGTTACTACTAGCTACTAGTTGCAGGTTCTTGACAGTGACCTCGCCTAGCATCGATTGCACAGGTACAGTATGTCTACATCAATCAACCAACCCTGCCAGGCACTGCATGAACATCCATGAAAACGGTCAACAAAAAGGGAAGGCCTTGTCGGCTTCTCCTACACGAGGTCTCTGGAGTCTGACCTACAAGCTACGAATACATGATGCCCAAAACCTCTTTGATTGAGGAACTTGTGCCAACTGTCCAAGCCAGTGGGGCTGCTTGGTGAAGACATCCAACATCAACGCGCCCCTTTGGTGAGTCCAGTGTGGCTCTAGGTGAGAAGTCGTAGAGCTGGAGTAAGCATCTTCATTGCGTACTGCAACAAAACGCATTTCAGCTTTGAAGCAAATGAAAAGGGTGAGGGATCAAAAACAATAATGTTAAAAAAATTATATAAACATGCAAAAACATAATCAACAAAGAATATGAGAAATTAGTATTTAAACACCATATCCAAAGGGATCAGCAAGAAAACTAAATAAGGATCAAGCAAATAATATAGCAATCTTAACAATAGCAGTGGTGGTATTGGAGAATAGCAGCAGCAGCAGCAGCAGCAGCAGCAGACTTTACATTCTGTTCCTGTTCCTATTCCTTTTTTGATCTAAATGCCGTGGCTCAAATCTAAAACGCATTCACAGGAGTGGTCACGATATTTAGCGACCCAAGAGACCAAGTGACCAGGGGACGGGGGACCAAAGGACTATTTGTTTGATGCCTATCCTGATGAAAACGTCGCCAAAAGGAGAGTCTGCCTACAGAAGTGTTTGGAGTATCTAAGCACCAAAAGGACTGATATGCAAGCGCTTCTGTGAAATCGAGATGGAGGCTATCCATTGCAGGTTGGAGGCCATCGCTCGTAGGTTGGAGGCCATCGCTTCTAGGGTCATTACTTCTAGTCTCGACATCCAGCTGCCTGACGCCCAGCTCTGCCCCTTTTCCGCTCGCTACGGAGTGGACTCTGTGTTCGGCCCGAGTCAAACGGGAAATCCCGCAGCGTTGGTGGCTGAAGAGCGACGAAAGAGGCCATGCTTCATCGGTCTATCACGTGACTGGAAGAGGCGAAGCTTGATTCTAGCTATGGCAACGTGACGCTTTTCTTGAGACAACCGTCACTAGAACTGTTCCAACGTCACGCTTCCGCAAGAGAGATCAAAGCCATTCGACCCTCCAAAACGAATGAATGCTGCAAGGTCCGTCTGTTCTTTACCAGAAACACACTCTCTGCACTCCCAGTTTCATTTCTTCTTTCGGCTGAAAGACCTTGAACAGCAGCTAGAAAGCTCTCTGCGCTAACTCACCACTGGTTGTGGATAGGTCCAATTTGAAGCGCTGGTCATGCCCTCCGTCTCTGGATAGACCCGACGCCTCAGGCATACAGGCATGCGTCGGCATGCGCTAAATGTGGCAGAAGTGGACACGTCCCAGCAAACTCATGAGCATCGTGCGGTCTCAAAGCAATGGCCTCCAACCTAATAGCAATAGCGGGCAAAAACAGAAAAAGAACCCTACTAGCGACGAGTTTCCTGGAAATGTGTGCCTTTGGATCTTCTCGACTGAAGTGGCGAGGTTTCAGTCCGTCCGACATTCGCATCCCTTCCCTCGGCAGCCACACGTCGACTTCTTGGACTCCTAGAGGCAAAGCGAGTTGAAAGCTCCCATCAGTACTGCCCTAGAGGCAGGTAGCGTCCTTGTTGCTGGTGACTAAACACTCCAAATCCAAAGACTGCATCTTGATTTTCTCCGAAGTCGGGAGGCGATTTGCTACTAGTTGCCTCTTGCTCCTAGTAGCGATGCCCTTTGTTACTAGCAGCTTCTTGTTCCTAGTAGTAATGCCAGGAGCTACTAGTAGCGATGCCCTTTGCTACTAGTAGAAATGCGCTCGTTATTGGTAGCAATGCCGTTGTGCCCGTGCATGGATGATCTAGTCCTTGTTTGCCCAATCCACTTGAGCGGCGGTTTGTTGGGACCAGGCATCTATCCTGGCAGAGAAAACATAATGACGAACCTAAAAGCAATAGCCTCCAACCTAAGAGAGATGGCCTCCAATAGAAGAGCTACAAAAAACCACTGTTGAACGCAAAGTTGAAGTGCATAAAAACCATTTTCATATCAGAAAAACAACGCCATAAGGTTTTGAACTTTGGCGTTCTGTGGGCTGTGAATGTGTGAGATGCAACTGAAAAGGGCTCCTGATGGAAGACACTTAGGACACGTGGGAAGAACACTTAGGACATTTAAATGCCAGAAACATTTGATGGACAAGCGCTTCTAGTAACAAGTGCCTTACTAGTAGTGACAAGAAGCTATTAGTAACAAGTGCATCGCTACTAGGAACAAGTGCATCGCTACTAGGAGCAAGTGCCTTACTTGTAGTAACAAGAAGCTATTAGCTTATTGTTTCTAATAGCTTCTTGTTACTATTAGTAAGGCACTTGTTACTACTAGCGTGGCACTTGTTACTGGTAGTAACAAGAAGCTATTAGCTTATTTTTTCTATTGGCTTCTTGTTACTAGGCGCTCAAATTCTAAATCAAGGCCGATGTCTGCCGAGCGACCCCCGGGTTCCCATCGCCACGGTGGCCGAGGTCGGTGCCTCGGTGTCCGGGACCAGGTCCACCGACGCGTTTGGTTCGTTTGGTTTGCTCCCTCTCTCTCTCTCTCTCCCGAACTAGCAATGGCCTCCAACCTTCTAGCGATGGCCTCTGACCTACGAGCGATGGCCTCTACAGGAGCGATGGCCTCCAACCTACTAGTGATGGCCTCCAACCCCAGTAGCGATGGCCTCCAACCCAATAGGGATGGCCTCCAACCTCTTTTTTGTCCGAACCTCCGATTTCGCTACTCTGGGTTGCCACTGCCGGTGGCTCCTCCATGTTCAGGGTCGCCTCCAACCATGCTTTTTGTATCCCGGTTCGCACCGGGATTTCTTGACTGTTTGGACACGTGCCCATGCGAGGCGACGACAAACTTCAACTCTTTGAGCTTTCAAGAAACACTTTCTTCACGGGGAAGCACGCAGATATTGGGAGTGCACAACAAGTCTTGCACCACCCTACAACGGCCCGAAAAGTTGCGCTCTGTGAATGCACTACAAACTCAAGCTGAAACCTGGCTATCGAAGCCCTTCTGTCTGCATTCCTTCCCCCCAAATTTGTATGCTTTGTATGCATGTTTTAGATAAGTTATATATGGTTGAGTGGGCTCTGGAATACCTAGGACATGTTGGGAATCAGGACGTGGCACCTCCAGTCAGGGCTCCACATCTCCAAATGGTAAGACATTGCAAAGACGGTGAACTAATGTGACTTGAGGAGAGGATAGACCATGCAAAACGATCGAGGAAGCGAAAATACGGTCCGCCGGGTAGAATGTCAGCCTTTGGGCCATCGCTAGTAGGTTGGAGGCCATTGCAAGTAGGTTGGAGGCCATTGCTACTAGAAACAAAGGAAAACACGCTTTGTTACTAGTAGCGATGCCCTTGTTCCTGGTAGTAAGGAGCCCCTGGTAGTGTCCTTGCTCCTAGTAGCGATGCCCATCCGCCTTTGAGAGCTTGCAGAAGGTGGCGGAGGTGATGCTGGCCAAGATGCCGCAGATCTCAGTGTTGGCGCTCTGTTGGCTCACTTGGCACAGCAGCATTTATCGGGGGCCGCAATCGTGGACAAAACCCAAGACACTCAATATTTTCACAACATCTTCTATGAAAGATCCCTGTGCCTGCCGTCCCCAAACCAAAACTGCAAAGGAAGATGCACGTGCTAAAAAGGAAGATCCTCGCTGGATTGGCTCTTCCCGACTTGCCAAGTTGGGCATTCTCCGCAGTAGCGAACACAACAATCACTGCCATCTGGCAGCGTCGAGCGTCCTGAGTGCTCCGGGCCGTCGACCAAAAGCCGATACCGTTGAGGCCCGGCTTCACCACCTTGGCGACGATGGGCGGTTTCATGCCCCTTTTGGTGGCCAAGGAGCTCGGGCAAAAACCACTTGCTCCGTTCGTAGCTCCTTGTTACGTCCGTAGCGATTTCCTCCAACCTACTTGCAATCGCCTCCACCGAGCCTGGCGTCCTTGGCCTAATAGAACATAATATTTGTGATGTTTACATACAACATGAGGGTTGGATGTAGTGTCACCTATAAGGGCAGTTGGACAGACTACTCTCTCTCTCTCTCTCGATCTTTAGGCCAAACAATACGAGTTGTATCTTGATTGGCCCGGTTCGTAAACCTGACCCATGATGCGGGAGATGTCCACATCGTGAAGCAATAAAAATCACCAGCCAAGGCCTCAGCCGAGGCCTCTCCGTCTCAACAGATCCCGCCAATTGGACTCAACGTCCATTGGTACTTCATTGGTGAGATCCTAAAAAAATTCTAGAAACCCCATGATTAGTGGGAGTGCTTCCTTGAAGAAGCGTGAGCTATCCTGGTTCCAGTAGGTAGTAGCTCAAAGTAGCTAGAAGCTTGCTCCCCCAACTTAATTAGGGAGGGAGGAGGACAGAGGGGGCTTCAAAAAGAAATTATTCCCACAAGGGCATCGCTACTGGGAACAAAGGGCATCGCTACTAGAAGCAAGGACGCTACTATTAGCTCCTGGCCATACTACTAGGAACAAGAAGCTACTAGTAGCGTCCTTTGCTACTAGTAGCAAAGCCAGGAGCTACTAGTAGCCACTCCTCCGGACCCGTCATCCACCGCTTTGGCGCTGGACGGAAGTGGCCGCAGTAATGACCTGAGCAAGGTGGCGTCGGATGTGACGGGGGAGACGAACCGGGCGCGGCGAAACCGTGCGCTCTATATTAGAAGCTAGTAGAAACAATAAGTAAATAGACTTTAAACAGAATTAAGTGTAATTAAAAGGCCCTAATAGCTTCTTGTTACTACTAGTAAGGCCCTTGCTCCTAGTAGCGATGCACTTGTTCCTAGTAGCTTTCTTCTAATAACAACCTTTATTCCTTTTATTTTCTTCTTTGTTTCTAATAGCAATGGCCTCCAACCTACTAGTGATGGCCTCTCTGGTTCCTTGCCACTTCGGTCTCGTCCTCTTTGCTGTTCCTTTGGGACTTCATGGAATCATTGAAGTCCGCTTTGAAAGGAAGGCTACTAGGGGCCTACTAGGGACCAGGAGCAAGAAGCTACTAGGGGCTCCTGGCATCGCTACTAGTAACAAGAAGCTACTAGGGGCTCCTGGCCTTACTACTAGGAGCAAGGACGCTACTAGGAGCATGAGGGAACCTCCAAGCTTTAGCGTTTGGCCTCCCCACAGCGACACTTTGGAAGAAGGCGCAGCCTGATGGGACAGCACGAAGCCGGAAGCCGACATGAACGTTCATGCGGAGGGAGGAGGTTTGACTTCGGGTGAATGTTTTTTCTTCCTCCGCAAGCTGGAGGCCATCGAAAGTAGGTTGGAGGCCATTGCTTCTAGGTTGGAGGCACATCTGGTTTGAAGCACATCTGGTTTGAAGCCGAACGAGGAAATTCCTCATGTTCAAAGAAGTTTTCCTCTTGGGGGTTAAGAACCAGGAACCACTCGCGGTAGGTCATGAACAATCATTCTCCTGCCGCGTTGAGGGTGACCTAAGCTTGGGGCCATTGGTTTAAAGGATCCTGACTATCACGACATCTAAAGTGATTCACTTGGCATCAGGTTGCTTAGGTTGCTTTCGCTTGGCCGATTCCAGGTCTGTCCGAAGAGTTTCATCGAAGTGGAGAGGTGCACCAAGTGCCGAGTGAGATAGTGCTCAAAACTCATCCTTGAACCTTGAGCCCCCCCTGGTGAGTTGCATAAGTTGCATAGTTCTGCCTGGTACTCAAGAAACACACAAAAAAATCTGAGACCTGCAAATATATTCCCTGCCATCACACTGTCCACATAAACGCAAGCTGTCGCCTGTGGCCATAAACATCCCTGTCTGCTGCGGGGAGCGCCATGCGAACCTCCAAGCGCTTTCGACTTCGAGGCCGCAGCGTGTTTCGGCCCAAATGCAAGGGGTCGTAGCTGTGTCAGGCCAAGACCCAAGTTCAGCTGACCGCTAAGGTGACTTCGCCTGTGATGTGTGTTATGTTGACACGTTGACATACTGACCCCTCAGCGAAAAGTCTGTGGAGTAGAAGCATGCATTCAATGAAGCTGAGATTCAATTGCGGATCTCCACAATTGAGAAGGAGTATTTTTACTTCTCCATATCCTGGACCAAGACGAATCAGGCATTCTGGTCTACTCCATGCAAGCCAACTATATAGCAGGAAACATCAAAAGGTTGGAGAGCTTCAAAAGCAGCATCCAACATACCTGCAAATCAAACACAGAAAACAATGGCAGAAGCAGTGCCTTCACCAAAACCATTCCTCCGTTCTTCACCCATAACTTCTACAGCTCCATCATTGAACACCTTGTTGTCGCTGCTGCGCCGCTGCGGGCCGCCACGTGGCCTCTGCTTGGCTCCCAGGAAGAGCACCATCGCTGGGAAGCTGTGGGCCATTGAAATGATGACCGCCTCAAAATATGGAGGAACATCATGGCACGCTACTACGTTGGCGGCCATCGCTAGTAGGTTGGAGGCCATCGCTACTAGAAACAAAGAACATAACCATCAAAAACTGGGCAACATCCGACTCTTTGAGTGTTTCTTTTGCAAAGAACCGTCTGATTGAATCCCAGAAATTGAAACGGGCCAGTGTAAGCATGGGAGACCATTTTCTGCTACTACTAGCGTCCCTGCCCTTTGTTACTAGTAGCTTCTTGCTCCTAGTAGTAAGGCCAGGAGCCCCTAGGAGCGTCCTTGCTCCTAGTAGCTCCTGAGCATGTCTGAACTACGTCCTATTTTTCTGTATGGAACACACAATATCAATATCTGTCAATGTGTTGTTTGTCTGGCTAGACCTGCTAGGAGAAACAAAGTATTGAACTGATCCAGTATCAACCTTCAACAATGCGGACATTTCACCTCTCCACAAATTGAATGCTGGTCAAACGCTACTGCCTGCTTCACAGAGTTTAGTTGTGGCTGCAACCTCCAAAAGCGTTTGACATCAATGCTTGCTAAGAAACACTTCCGCATAAAACCCGTCTTGAACAGAGACACAACCGCAGGATTTGGGGATTTGGCTCACTGCCACTTGTGAACTTCCCTGCTTTAATGACACTCTTTCAAGAAAGCTGCCACCAACGTGAAAGCTTACCCAACTACAGCGATGTTTTTTGTGGAAAACGAGGAGCAAGAGCAAGGCCGAAGGAACACCAGAAAACAACTTGTGATTTGCGGATCCGTCAACGGACCTCCGGCCCGATGCCATCGGCTCAGGGTGCGGCTAAGAACATGCATCCCTTGGCGATCCAGATCTTCCTTGGCGAACGCGGACGGAATGGGCTTTTTAGCCTAATAGCGATGGCCTCTGGGGAAAAGGTATTTTGCTTGACGTAGTTTCCGCTGAAAGGAAAAGGTGGAAGTCTACCAAGTTGGACATGGCATTTCGAAAACTCCTTCGAGATCAAACACATGTTTCCAGAGTCCACTCTGTCCCTCTCCACCCTAGTAGCGTCCTTGCTACTAGTAGCAAATAGCTACTAGTAGCGATGGCCTCCACCGTGGTAGCGTCCTTGCTACCCTCTTCCTTCCCAAAACAAACCAGCCGAGTGACTCGAAGTTCCCCGAGACCAAGCAGGGATCCTCGGTCTCGAACCATGCGAAGGGCCCCTCGGCGCTCTTCTGCATGTCCTCGGTGCTCGAACGGCTTTTGGCGGTTTCCAAAAAGAATGGGTTGTGCTTGGTATGTACCTCGTTGGAGGCCGTCGCTAGTAGCTTGGAGCATCGCTAGTAGTGTACGGTTATAGAACTGCAAAAGATTCACTCCAAAACGCGTCCTTTTTCGTGATTTGCTCCACCCGACCAACCGGTCACCGAGGGAGCTGCAACTGAGGCTTCCGACGAAGACAGCCAAATGACAGGAAACAAAGGAGGTCACATCTGGAGGATAGGCCTGAAACAAAGGATCTCGGTACATCCACAAAGCTCATGGGATGTGTCTTTTCAATTCAATGAAAACTCTGAAGTGCAAAAGAGTATTCTATTTTGTTCTTCTCTTGTTGCCAAGGAATTCCAGCAGGATGCTGCCCCAAACACTCTTTCCATGGTTCTTCTAAATTTCCATTAACGACTCCAAAGATTGCACCACAGTCCCTCTTGCAGCTATTTTGCTAGTAGGTTGGCGGGCATTGCTATTAGGTTGGAGGCCATAGCTATTAGGTTTATTAGGTTGGAGGATATCGTTGATCGGTGAGGCCATTACTTCTAGGGTCTCGCCCCGGACCTCGGGCTCCGGTGGCAGCATGGGTGCCGCCGTCGGCGGCGCTGTGTTGGGCTCCGCCGCAGGCGTGGTGCGCGGCTGGCGGAGAATCGGAGAGAATCGGATCGAACCACTGGTAGTAACAAGTGCCACGCTAGTAGTAACAGGTGCCTTACTAGTAGTAACAATGTTTGCTATTAGAAACAATAAAATTAATAGCAAACATTGTTACTACTAGTAAGGCACTTGTTACTACTAGTAAGGCACTTGTTACTAGTAGCCTCCTTTGCTACTAGAAAAAAGGATTCTACATGTGAAACATGTAGTGTGAGTCTTTGAAGGCTTATCACGATTTGCTTCTGATTTCTCTTCCCTATCTTCAGTTGCAATTCTTGAGCGGAAAGGCATGTTTCTTAGACGGATTCGGTGATCGGATCCACCCGTCTATGCATAATGCAGAAATTAGTTCCGACCAAGGCAGGCGGGCTTCCCTGTTCGTCGGAAGATCATTTGAACATCCCAAAACCTTGACCGCTCGCTTCAGCCATGGACTGCAAGCGGTGAAATGCAGTTCTTAGGTCAGGTTGGAGGCCATGGCTATTCCTTTGGAAGGAACAAGTGCATCGCTACTAGTAACAAGTGCCTTACTAGTAGTAACAAGAAGCTATTAGAATTAAACTAAATTTAAAATAACATTAATAGCAAACATTGTTACTACTAGTAAGGCACCTGTTACTACTAGCGTGGCACTTGTTCCTAGTAGCAAAGGAGGCATCGAAAGCGTTGAGTTGCGCCTGTAGAGTCCGGAGCGTCGCCAGAGTGGTGGTGGTCAGGTCCTGGAGACTCCGAGCGCTGGCCAGTTGACACGCTTCGGACAGCCCTAGTAGATTCCTTTCTAGTAATTTTAGTTTTAATTTCTAATTTTAATTCTATTTCTGTATTGTTTCTACTAGCTTCTTGTTACTACTAGTAAGGCACTTGTTCCTAGTAGCGATGCACTTGTTACTAATAGCGAACCGAAGGTGAGACTTGAGGCCAAGTGAGGTCTGCTGTTATGGATTGAGATGGACTGAGCAAGTTGATCTGGTCTAAGGCCGTTCAAAAAAGAGCTTTCCCAAGCGGGGCAACATGAAAATGCTTTGGGATAGGTTGCGAAGCACGGTCTGGGGTTCTGATCGACTTTTGATGTGCTTCATTTCATCCTGTCCCTACGGTTGGTGTATGTGTCGCTTTCGTAGTCTCCTCATTCAACCAACAATGGCAACCAATGCGAAAGCATCAACAGCACGCTTTTCAACACCGCAGAAGTGCACCCCAAAAACCTTGCCGCCAAGACTCTAAGAGCTCGATCTCCCAAGCCTCCTTCAAGGCCCAGTCACTCCTAAGAGGACGAAGACACACGAGGGCCTCCAACCTACTAGCGATGGCTGGTGGGATCAGTTCAGTGTCCTGGTTCAACGGGTAGACCCGCAGGACGCTGTTCCAGGTTTGGGGTGCCACAGGGAAGCTACGTAAGGCACTTGTTACTACTAGCGATGCACTTGTTACTACTAGGAGCAAGGATGGGTTCAGCCAAGACCGCAATTGACGCTCTGTCGACCATTTCTTTTGCGGCAGCCGCCAAGTACAAACGCGCTACTCCTGTCATACCATACGACAGCATACCCCCAACATTTAGGTTGGACCATCGCTATCAGGTTGGAGGCCATCGCTATTCGCTATTATTTCAAGGGACATGGCGCAGAAACATTGGATGAAAGGTTCACCCTCCCTGACAGCAACACTTTGTTGCAACAAAGGCGACTTAGGTCCTCCTTACATGGCAAGGTCCTTTACAGCCTGCCGCATTTCCCACTCTTCCTGAAGAAAAAGACTTCCTCGGCTCTTTCACTGCATCAAAAGAAGAGCAACTCCGTGCACCACATCTGAGAGAAGAAGCCTCCAACCCTTGAATTCGCAAGTAAATCGTCTCCAGCCATGACGACGCATACAGGATGAATGCAGCCATGGCCGGAACAACCAAGGCTTCGCACGACAGGTGTGGTGTTTCACGTCCTTGCCTTTGTCAAGTCCGAGGCCGCCCTTTCACGTTGGTCATGTCAGGGCGTCTTGCCTCCGTTGATGAATGCTGTCGAATCACATTGTGAAGGTCTGGCAGACTCCATAGGAGCAAGGGGCATCGCTACTAGGAACAAGAAGCTACTAGGGGCTCCTGGCCGTACTATTAGGAGCAAGGACGCTACTAGTAACAAGTTGACGAAAGTGCTGCGGCGGAGTGACGGAGTGGCGTGAGACTCATGTCCCCCGTGGCGTGACGGAGTGGAGGTCGCACGGTTTCTTTCGGAGGCTCCTAGGGGAGCTCTACACCACCAGAATCAATGCTCCAAAATCTCCATCTGACAGTATCCAACCGCTGCGCTTGCTGAGTGGCTGTCGCAGACTTTGGAAGTTGTGTTGCAGAGTTCAATTAGGAAAGTGCCGTGCTGAGCCAATGACTGCGAGACAACTTTCTGCAGAATCACCCAACTGCCAAGGTGGAATGGGTAGAGGACGCTACTAGGGGCTCCTGGCCTTACTAGGACTAGGAGCAAGAAGCTACTAGGAGCAAAGGGCAAAGCTACTAGGAGCAAGAAGCTACTAGGGGTTCCTGGCCCTACTACTAGGAGCAAGAAGCTACAGGAGCAAAGGGCATCGCTACTAGGAGCAAGAAGCTAAAAGGGGCTCCTGGCTGTACTACTAGGAGCAAGAAGCGACCAAAGGGCATCGCTACTAGGAGCAACAAGCTACTAGGGGCTCCTGGCCCTACCACTAGGAGCAAGAAGGCTAGGAGCAAAGGGCATCGCTACTAGGAGCAAGAAGCTAGGAGCAAGAAGCGACTAGGAGCAAAGGGCATCGCAACTAGGAGCAAGAAGCTACTAGGGGCTCCTGGCCCTACTACTAGGAGCAAGAAGCTACAGGAGCAAAGGGCATCGCTACTAGGAGCAAGAAGCTACTAGGGGCTCCTGGCCTTACTACTAGGAGCAAGAAGCTACAGGAGCAAAGGGCATCGCTACTAGGAGCAAGAAGCTAAAAGGGGCTCCTGGCTGTACTACTAGGAGCAAGAAGCGACTAGGAGCAAAGGGCATCGCTACTAGGAGCAAGGACGCTACTAGGGGCTCCTGGCCTTACTACTAGGAGCAAGAAGCTACTAGGAGCAAAGGGCATCGCTACTAGGAGCAACAAGCTACTAGGGGCTCCTGGCTTTACTACTAGGAGCAAGAAGCGACTAGGAGCAAAGGGCATCGCTAATAGGAGCAAGACGCTACTAGGGGCTCCTGGCTTTACCACTAGGAGCA